CCTCTTTTAAAAAAGACACGATTTTTTCCCTTTAATAATAAAGGTCTATAATTCTTCATCAAAAGAAGAGAACAAATACTTTAAAAATACCCTTTTTTCAACCAATGGCATTTTTATACTATAAAACTTTTCTTTTCCTGGTGGTCTTTGCCACAAGAGAAAACTTAAGCTCATTTAAAACTAAAGTTTATTTAAAAATCAGCTATGAGCCTGAGATATAGTACAGTTAATATATCAGCTTTGAACTGATTTCTAACAGTCTTTTTGAAGTATCTTTTAAATACCCTTCAACCATCTTTAAACAGCAAAGCATTCCTACCAGATTAAAAGTTTAGGGACGTCCCTGGTGGTCCAGTGGTTAGGACTCTGTGCTTCCACTGCAGGGGGCACGAGTTCGATCCCTGGTCGGGGAACTAACATCCCCCATGCCGTGCAGTGCAGCCAAAAAAAACCACAAACAAACAGAAAAAAAAACAAAAGAAAACAAAAAACAGTTTAAAAGGTAAAGGATGCCACTGCTAGATGAATGATAGGTTGCAGAAAGATCTCTCCATAATGGGTAAACAAGTCTTCTATAAGAAGAGGAGAAGGGAAAATATTGACAATGAGCCCTTCAAAAGAGAAGCAGTGCTCAGGCACATATTCCAAGTCTGATAAACAGCTACTAATCAAGAAAAGTCTGGCATTAATAATGGTATGAACTAGAAATTGCAAGGTTCAAAGAAAGTGAGAGATACCATCTGAAGTAAAGGGAAGAGGCTAGTTTCTTGCCAAGCCCTCTCTAACTCTGACCATCTATATCTGATCACATTATTGCCCTGCTCTTAGTTCAAAGTGATTTTTCCTTGTCCATGAGATCAAATCTAAACTCTTTTGCATTCTGATCCCAATCTATGTGTCCAGCCTCCTCTCAGTCTGCTCCCTCTTTACTGTCACCGGACCCTCCCACCACCCTTCCTTTTCCTTTCACCACGCTGTAAATAATTCTAGTAAAGCAATTATTTTCTTGCACAGTAATGATTATTTTCCATATCCTATCACCTTAGAAAATATAGCAAGCTACTTGAGGACAAAAACTATTTCTTACGATCTTTGTATTCCCAGCACCTAACAGAATGCATGATACCTAATAAATATTCAATAAATATTTCTTTAATGAATGAATGAGTGCTCTTCAGTGAAATGGTCCATATCAGAGATCAGAAAAAAGGACTTAAATTCTTGTTTTTAAAAGTAAGAGTATAACACAAAGTTACCCTGATTTAATAAAATGCAGTGTTGGACACAAACACTTAGAATATAAAAATATAACTGCATGAGAAGTTAATTGTTTCAAGATTTGTCATCCTCAGATAGTAACCACAATGCTCACTCTCCCCTGTAAAAACAAGGTGTCAAGATTTTAATTATGAATCAACATCTCTCAGTCATGGGGTATATAAACTTCTTCTGAAGACCAGACTTCTGCAACATTTTTTTAAAAGGTATACAGGAAGGTGTTCTTACGTGTCTTTAAAAAGAAATTGACAATTCCTTGTGAATTGTAAACTTTCTATTTAGAAACAATTGGACTCTTCCTGCATTAAATTCTTGGTTTTGTTCTTCAGTTGATGACATTTGCATATAAAACAGTATCTTTGTTTCTTAGGAGATCATCTGCTTCTGAAATGAGATGTATTTATCTTCTACAGAAATAATTTCCCCTAATCATGACACAACTAATTTTGTTATTCTAAATATGGGATATCATCAGCCATGGTAAATGTATAGCAAGGGCAATTGGAACTCCAGAGAAACAAAGATTTTGTTTTTCATGACATTCACAAAAACAATCCTATTCTAGAAAATGTAATCTTGTATTTGAATAAACAAGAAACAACATTTCTAAATTTTTACCTAATTCAGCTACAAAAATGGAAAATTTTAACTCCAGATTTCATAGCAGAAAAAATATTATTTTTGGCAGCCCTTGATAAAATAATATTTGGAAATTGACTGTGAAAAATACTGCTAATATTTCAAATTACTAGCATTTATTTACAGTAACTCAACATTCTTGAAATGTAAATTTAATCTCTAACTGAAAAGAACTATTGTAATAATAAACTGCTATTAGTTACTATATGTATAGGAATGCTAGTATCATTCTGAATGTATTCTTATTTCCTAATTCTTTTGATTACCTTTTGCTGTTAGCATTTACAAAGCATCTATTTTAAAAATGACAATTATTTACATCTATAAGTGGCCTTGAAATAGTGACTTTTTTGGGCCATAGTGTGTGTGGTTAAAAAAGTAAAAATAGGCTTTATAAGATGAACCTAGTTAGAATCCTGATTCTATCTCTACCACCTCCTAGCTGTGCACAGTAAGTCCCCTACATACGAACAAGTTCCATTCCGAGAGTGTGTTTGTAAGTCCAACAAAGTTAGATTAGGTACCCAACTAACACAATTGGCTACATAGTACTGTACTGTAATAGGTTTACGATAGTTTTCACACAAATAATACATACAAAACAAGCAAACACAAAAAATAAAGAAAACAGTTTTAATCTTACAGTACAGTATTTTGAAAATACGGTAGTACAGTACAACAGGTGGCATACAGGGGCTGGCATCGAGTGAACAGGCAAGAAGAGTTACTGACTGGAGGAGGGAGAAGAGGTGGGAGATGGTAGAGCCGAAGGATCGTCAGCAATAGGAGACGAGGGCAAGCTGCAATTTCACTCACGCCTGACATTGACGGAACACGTGTTTGCATCTTTGAAAGTTCGCAACTTGAAGATTCGTATGTAGGGGACTTACTGTACAGATTACATTAGAAAAATTCTGATCCTCAGTTCCCTCACCTTTAAAAAAATAGGTTTCCTATCACAAAAGTTTATTCCAAATATGCAATGTACATATATAGCATGTGGCACATAATACATGTTCAATAAATAGTTATCTTCATCCATCAAAGATTAATGCCTCCCTATTTGGCTCTAGCCACACTAACCTTGTTGGAGTTTGAGGGAAGAACTGAACTTGTTCTGCCTCACAGTTTTTATACTAGCTGCTCTCTGTGTTTGGAAAGCTCTTCCCATCTATTTTTACAATAGTTGCCTCTTAGCATTCAGGTCTCTGATTAAACCTCTCTTTCCCTGAACATTCTATCTGTAGAAGATTATATTTTCCAAAGACAGTTGTCACAGTATCTCCCATCTCACATGCTCTTTTACAATGTAGAGGTGGGGTCTATGTTACTACCCCTTAAATATGTGTAGGCTTAGGAATTCTAAACCAATAAGCTTATGACAGAAATGATGTGCAGTTCCTGAAACAAAGCCATAGAAGGGGATTCACAGAGAAATGTTCATAGCAGCATTATCAGCCAAAACCTGGAAGCAACCCAAATGTCCATCAGCTGCTGAATGGATAAATAAAATGTGTTTATGTTCATACAATAGAATACTATTTGGCCATAAAAAGGAATGAAGTATCAATAACATGCTGAAGCATGGATGAATCTTGAAAACATACTAAGTAAAAGAAGCCAGACACAAGAGGCCACATATTGTATGATTCCATTTATATGAAATGCCCAGAACAAGCACATCTATAGAGACAGAAAGTAGATTAGTAGTTGTCTGGGATGAGGGGATTTAGGGGAGGAACTAATGTGTACGGGGTTTCTTTGTTGTAGTGATGAAAATATTCTGGAATTAGACAGTGGTGATGATTGCACAAATGTGAACATACTAAAAACCACTACTGTGTACTTTAAAAGGTAGAATTTATGGTATGTGATAACAAAATTTTTAAAAATATACTATGAAGAGAAACTTTCAAAAAACGAATGAAACATTTCTTCATGGTTTGCTAGGTTTTAAAAAAATGGAAGCAGTTTCTAAACTGTTCCCTAGGATGTTCACTTTTAGAACCCACAGCCAAAATAGTCTGGCTACCCTAAAGCCACCAGTATGAGGAAACCAGGCCACTTGGAGAAGCTGAGGCTTTTGAGAGCCCTGTATGGTACCAGTTGAGAGCCAGCATTAACTGTCAGACGCAGAAAGAGGGGAGCTTCCAGATTCCAGCCTCCAGTCAGAGTCACCCCCTGCCGTGCCCCACGTACCATGGAGCAGTCATTCCTGCTGTCCTGACTCAGAACCTTCAATCACATAAAATGGTTAGGTTTTGCAGTGGTCTGTTTTGTAGTAATAGTAATGAGAACACTACCTAACACATCCACCACACCACAACCTCCCTTTATCTAGCTTCTTTTCCTTCATGACATGACACATCTTCATCGCATGACATTGTTACATATATTTTTTTATTCTGTCTCCCTCCACCAGAAGTGAGTTCCCTGAGAGCAGGGTCCTTTGTGTCTTGTTCGTATAAACACACCACCCAGAAAAATACCCAGTATATAGTAGATGAATAATATATAATTGTTTGAATAAACAAATTAATGAATTAGTATGGAATCCTCAGCATGGGGAGGGCACTAGTTGAAACTTGCTTTGGTTTGGCATGATTTCCAAAATATAGCTACTGTCATTTCATTAACTCTCCCAATGAAATAATTCCCAATAATTAAGTATGAAAACCCGCACTATTAAAAATACAAATTATCACTGTTTCTTTGTTTCTAAGGAAAATCCAAGACGGTTTATAAAACTGTTCACATTCTTGCTGTAGTCATTCAATTATTCTATTTTAATAAATGAAAGAAAATAGGCATAATCAAGAAATAAAACACACATGGCCAAGAAATAAAAATGGACTTTATTGTAGTTACCAGTATCCTTGTACTTATATAGTTTATAAAGTTTAACTTATATATATTTTTGCCCTAGAATACCATGTTGAACAAGTGGGAGCAAAACAGATTTGATTCATGTTGAAATCCAGGTCAAAGTAGTAGACACTGCTATTTTTTTAATGCTTAAATGGTTTACTTTGTAAAACATTATATCAGTGTTGGTTTTTTCTATGAATGGAAACATAGCCTACCTCTGGTGCCAGATATTCTGGTGTACCACAGAACGTCTTCATGGTGGCTGCATCTGTGATCCCTTCTTTGCAAAGTCCAAAATCTGTAATTTTTATGTGGCCATCTTTATCCAGCATCAAATTCTCCAACTGTGTAGTAAGAAAGATAACGTAATTTGTTCTATAGTCTTCAAAAATAGGAAAATACTGTTTTGAAAAATAATTGAATGTTGAGTAAGATATTTTGGAAAGAGGACACAGAGTTAATAGAACTTTTCAAAGACAAACCCTGTAGCTTCCTAACTCATGTGTAAAAAGAAACATTTTATCAAATACTTCACAATAATAAATTGATTTTTAAACCCATAGGAGTAAGAGCTGTTATTGCATAAGTTCTGAGAAGTAAAGTCTAATTAACTTCCCAAAGCAAACATCAATCCTCTTTTTTCCTGTTTAAAATAAATTGTGATCAAAACAATCCCAAAGAGACAAGCATCTTCTGGATATATGCAGATGGTTTTCAACCATTTCATTTGGGAGTCTAGTGCTACGATAAAATATTCACTTACAGAAATGTTACTTTGGTGGTGGTTATAAATCAAACCTAAATCTTGTTTTGTAAGGTAAGGCAATATCCTCTTTTACAGTTCTTTGTAATAAAGAACTACCAACCCTTTTACACATAAAAAGAATATGAAAGTCAAACATTCAACAGTTAATGAAAACATATAGCACAGGTATTATGAAGTTGGAATCTCTTTGACTCCATTAATACAAAAAGAACAATCTTGAAGACATAATGCAGAAGACGTAACGCAGAAATGCATTCACAAAAAACACATGAAAAAAAATAGTACCATGGGCTTCCCTGGTGGCGCAGTTGTTGAGAGTCCGCCTGCCAATGCAGGGGACACGGGTTCGTGCCCCGGTCCGGGAAGATCCCACATGCCGCGGAGCGGCTGGGCCCGTGAGCCATGGCCGCTGAGCCTGTGCATCCGGAGCCTGTGCTCCGCAACGGGAGAGGCCACAACAGTGAGAGGCCCACGTACCGTAAAAAAAAAAAAAAAAAAATAGTAGCAGGACGAATGATAATTAACTTACTTAAGGAGTAGATCATTATTCTACTCCTTAACATGATGATGTATGAAAATGCCTACCCAAACTCTGAAGTCAGTATCAAATTCAAAATAGAACTCCATATAAGAACATAAACAGACAACAATCATATAAAATGTGATGGTGGTATACTCTGTCATATTATCCAATGTCTTATAAACCAGAGACTAAATACAGTTAAGCAAGCTCAGAGTACACGTAAGTCCTTAAGTTTAGAACTTAAATGTGCTACACAACTGAACTCAACGCTCAATATGTTTCGTGCACTGCATAGACTTCAGAGAAGTGAGTCTGTTTTTGACTTGTCTACAGAGAGATGAATGAACCCTAAATATATTGCTAAACCTTTCAAAAATGAAAGTTCTCTTATTTTATCTAAATTCAGAGAGATTGCATCTTCCTCATGATTCTCTACTAACTGGACCCCAAAATCAAACCCAATTTGCACAAATGGCAGTAAGTCCTAAATAGGGAAAACAATCAGGAACATCAAGAATCTGTCTACTTCTCTTTCTGCCTTGAAAACCCTTCTCTTCTTTCTGCTTCTGATTTTCTCCCCTTTTTCCTTCTCTTTCAAACAACACTCTCTTCTTCCTCCTGCTCCTACCTTGCCATAACAAGAAAGAGAAGTATACACTGGAGTGTCTGTTGTTTTGTTGAATGAAAATATATATGCTCTTTTCTTAACTTTTAAAAATATGCTTATTGTTCTAACATATGAATACATCATAACATATAAAAGCAAACCAAATTAAGTTCTTAAAATACTATATCTTTTATAATACACAAAAATTCTTACAAAAATGTCAAATAATACATAATAATATTGAATAAAATGTGTTTGGTGTATATTATGTCAATTCGTTTTATATGCTTTGCATGCAAAGTGAAACATGATAGTATGCGCTAATGTGCTAATTCTCCACATTCTGACGAGACTATTTTGAAGTGGATAGATACAGAAGTATCAAAACATATAAATACTGTTTTTAATACCAATAAGTACATACATTTTTTAAAATCCCGATTCATACCTAATTCTCTAATCTCATATCTCATTTCCAAGATACCAAGGGTTGAGGGATGAGGAATGAAATGAGATGCAAGGACAGGGTTTGAATGAAGAATAGGAACAGGATGAAAGTGACCGCGAGCCCCAGTTTACCTAGAACTGAGGGGGGCTCCCAGGATTCAGGACTTTAAAGTTCTACAACTGGGGAAGTTCTAGGCAAAACAGGACAGTTGATCATTCTACTTGTTTTATAAATCAGCTTAATTACAATGATATAGTCAGAAATAAGGTCAGCCTACAGGATGACTGTGAGAGATGGGGTAAAGGTCACCATAATGGGGATAAGGTAGCATATTGCATAGGAGGCAGTAGAGAGCAATGTGCATAAGATTATGGAGTCAAGTCAGAGAACTTAAACGTAAATTCAAGTTTTATCTCTTACTGTGTAACCTATTGACATCTATGTGCCTCAACTTCATCTATAACACAGAGTAAATAACAGTAACGATCCAATGTGATTGTTTTGAGAATTAAATGAGATACTGAATGTAGAACTTAATCAATAAATGTATTGATCATTTATTAAACATGGAGAGTTTAATGGCTGATTCATAATTTATCAAAATGGTGTGTGCTCTTCTATACAAGAGCAAAGTTCAGAAATGGAACCCTATAAAACACTTTTGTCAGCTCGGTGACTTCAATAAAAACACTTTTTTTTTTTTCTTTTTTTGCGGTACGTGGGCCTCTCACTGTTGTGGCCTCTCCCATTGCGGAGCACAGGCTCGGGACGCGCAGGCTCAGCGACCTTGGCTCACGGGCCCAGCCGCTCCACGGCATGTGGGATCTTCCCGCACCGGGGCACGAAACCGTGTCCCCTGCATCGGCAGGCGGACTCTCAACCACTGCGCCACCAGGGAAGCCCAAAAAACACTTTTTAATATGCAACAATTTCTTTTGAATAAACAACAAAACAAATATTTTACAATTTTTGAGCCAGTTATTTTATAATAGTGTCCACCTTCTTCCATCAATTATTTTTCTTCTCTCACCATCCTGAAATGTCATTTTGCTGAGCATGAATGACAAAAACAACTTGTCCATCAGTATGAACAACAGCCAGAGATACATCACCTTAAAAAAGTGATATCCCCAAATCTAATCTTGTATAAAGATAAATTGGGGCTAATTAAATATCCAGTCTGGTTTAAAAAATAATAATTTTATGCAAATGCATAACAAAGTTTTCATAAAATAGAAGAACGATCAGTGTTATGATTCACAAATGTGAAGGATGCACAGAATCACCTGGTAATCTTTCCAAAGCAGATCAAAGGCTTAGATATATCAAAAACACCTGGAAATCACTTCCTTAGTGCATTTGACACTAACAGAAAGAAGATTTCATCAAACATTTTTAGGGACCCTTCCACTGTGTAAAGGAGGAATAAAAATATTTACAAATCACCTTTCTTTGGTTCTCTCTCCTAAATCTAATGCTTTCCTTCTTCCTTTTCTTAACCATAAAAGGAAAAATGCATACACTGTAACTGACTGTTCAGGTACTCTCTATTATAAAACTTTATATGCATCTGTTTTATTTCCACTGTCAGTCTTAGCATCTGGGATTGAGAGCAGGGCATTATGTTTATGCTTAATGGATGCATCTACCAGCAAAAGCAATGTATGAAGTTAAATAGGAAGTCTGAAAGAAAAGATTATATATTCAAATCTGGGTAATGCTTACAATTTGTATCAGAGGGTTGCTTGTTATCTAATAGTTCATATTTTGAGGAGACAAGAATATTAGACATCCTAGAGTTTCCATTTAAAAACGGCAACATTTTTTACCCAGTTGAATCGGACAGGCATTATTTGACAGAGGATCTTGATTTGGTAGATTTTGAAATCTTTTTTCCTCTGTGCTTTGTGAACAAGAAACTATAGCAAGAAAACACTATACTCCTTTTTCTGCTCTTGCTGGTGCCTAGAATAAAATTAAATTCTTCCTATTAGAAAGTTTAAGAGTTTTTAACTTTTAAGCTTTTAAAAGCTTTCTAATATACAATTCATATATATTCTAATATCTATCTATGATAAATATACACACATATATATATATATATATATATATATATCTTTTAGGTATCATTTTAATTAAATGGCTGACACTTTGTGATTAAACAAAGGAATGATAATAGCAGTTCCTAAGCGCTCTGACAACTACTGTAGCAATACCAAAAACAAGACCCTTCACTCACTTTTACAAACCCTTTTTAGCACAGTTACACCAGTACCAAGACTGCCTCAGGCTCAAGAATGTAATAAGAAATTCCTCCCCTGCACACTGCATATTTAGGTTTATGGGTATCCAAGTTGCAAATGTCACATGGCTGACCTGCAGGAACTTAATGACCACGGAATTAAGACAGTGTGTTGAAATGCTGAAAGGAAAACTTTGAACCTTCCTAAGATGGAAAAGAATTCACAATATACAACAGCAGAGATCCCATCTAGGTTGGGGTTTAAGAAATACTACATTTAAGAATTTACTACACTTGAGTAACATAGCCCAATAGTATAAGTTAATGTTAGAGGTGGAAGGGGTTCTTAGTAGCAGTGGCTTAAATTATAAAAGAGGGAATCCAGAGTGACTGGTTAGAAGTGGGAGTTAGAGGATGTGTCTTGAGACTCTGTATGTAAAGTAAGCACACTGTTTCATTCAGACCGCTGGTTTATTTAGGAGCTGAGGAAGATTGGGAGGGCTGTGATATAAGGCTCTCTGAAACCATCCCTTTGTGCCATCACTGAGTCTTAGAAATTATCTAAATCTATCTGGCAGTTTCTCACGTTAACAGTGTAAGTGGTAAAATTAACCATTAAATTCTCTGATTAGGTAGAAAACAAGATTAGATTTTCCACAAGTAGAATACAGTAGCAATTTACGCATTTTTCTTGCCCCTCCCCCTGTCATAAACTCTTGGGAGAAATGAATTCATTTTTAGAAATATTTATTTATTTTTGGCTGTGTTGGGTCTTTGCTGCTATGCACAGGATTTCTCTAGTTGCGGCGAGCGGGGGCTACTCTTCGTTGCGGTGCACAGGCTTCTCATTGCAGTGGCTTCTCTTGTTGTGGAGCACGGGCTCCAGGTGCGTGGGCTTCAGTAGTTGTGGCACATGGGCTCAGTAGTTGTGGCACATGCGCTTAGTTGCTCCGCAGCATGCGGGATCCTCCCAGACCAGGGATAGAATCAGTGTTCCCTACATTGGCAGGCGGATTCTTAACCACTACGCCACCAGGGAAGTCCCAGAAATTAATTCTTAATGAAATTCCAGTATCAGTACCTTTGCAAATGTCCCTAGTTCAGCTTATTCTATCCTTGGATGGCCATGGTCGTTGAAAAGAAAGGTTATATTGAATACTTACAAAAACAAGAGCCAAGCAGAAAAGAAGTTTTCAAAAAAACTTGTACTACTGACACAGTCTTAGGAGAGATTTCTTCAAATTTTTATGCTATCATAAAGCAATATCAGTTTTTCCTAAGTAATCACAAAGAATTTGGGTCCTTACTGAAGCAAAATTTAATATCATGACATGTATTGATAAATTATGCAAACTAACTTTTTAAACTACAACAAAAGTTGCAATAATTTATCTGTTGCTGTGAACACCAATTTATTAGGAACTATGAACTGATAAAATGTCTTAAATTAACTTGCACATGAAATTAGGCTTTGCCTCTAATGATGAATGGGTCAGTGGCAAACAGGTACTGATTTACTTGAGAGGTGCAGCTACCATAAGTAACTCAAATGGATTTGTATTTGAATAAACACAAGGTTATTAGTAAGGAGAAGACAGAGACCAATCTGAGACAAATCAAAGTGGGTACCTAAATCAGTTTTTGATAATGCTATTTTGAATATATTTTGTATAAATATATTTAAAACATTCCTTCTCTTATCTTTGGCAGCTTTATTCAAATTTTAGATTTACAAAGATCTCCTAGAATTAATCCAATGAATTCCCCCACCTAAAGTTCATTTCATCTCTAGAAAGGCAGAATGGTGTAATAAAAAGAACATTATACCTGGAGCTAGGATTCATGGAATCCAATAATCTTGACTATGTCAGCAACTTAGTCCATTACTTTGAGTAAATCCCTTACTAGGCTTCTAGTCTTCAATAAGCTCAGCTGTAAACTATGGGTCAGCTCTAAATTTCTACGACTCTACCTAAAGATCTCATTCTATCATGTGCAATATGGATACAAACAACACGTATAAATTTTGAATGTCTGACTTTTTACATTATCCATTCTTCTCGGTGTATGTTCCATGGATTCTGTCCAATGCTATACATTTACTTAGACCTTTAACTTAAGGTTATATTAAAAAGTAAATAAATTTAGAGAGCAGAGGCCACTTAATTGTCTAATAAAGTTAGTGGTCTGTTTATATGGTAACTACATGGCTGGTATTCACATACCAAGTATTAGCACTGTGGCTTAATAAATTTAGTCTAATTTCATCATCAGAAAGGATGAAGCAACAAAACTCATTAAATGAACTTCAATGTACCAATATGTTGATTCATTAATGAGAAATGATCAATGGAGATACTGACCAAAACCATCCCAATTATATCATTCCTTAATCAATGCTAGCAATCAAGTGAGTACTCTTCTGTTTCTTTAGACTAATAATTCCATCTTCCAGCTTTAAGCATTTTGGATACATTACTAAGTACTTCAAAATTATTCTCATTTTCTTAAATCCACGAAATCCTCCTCCTTCTCCCTACAAACAGAATTCATAAAATATAAAGTGGGAATGGTGGGGGGGAGTAGATCAGGCAGAGAAGAGCTAACTACTTCTAAGTAAATTTGGAAATGCTATATAAATTATGTTTTATCATACCGTATAACTAAATTCTTTTTTAAAACTCTGGATTCAAGACATTTAAACATTATAGGATTATTTGGCCATTCAGACATCAGATATAGGGATGCTGAATTCTGCCACTCCTGGCTATAAAAAGCTGCAGGCTAAATATAATCATATTGTTGATTCATATCCACCTCTGGTCTATTTGGGCACTTAGTTGATCATCCCTGATATAGATATAGTTGCATAGTTCATTTTTCCTAAAAACAGAATTTTATAGCTTCTTTAATCAATAATATGTTAAGAAATAAAACAATAAAGAAGATGTGGCACATATATACAATGGAATATTACTCAGCCATAAAAAGAAGCGAAACTGAGTTATTTGTAGTGAGGTGGATGGACCTAGAGTCTGTCATACAGAGTGAAGTAAGTCAGAAAGAGAAAAAATACCATACGCTAACACCTATATATGGAATCTAAAAAAAAAAAAAAAAAGGTGCTGAAGAACCTAGGGGCAGGATAGGAATAAAGATGCAGACATAGAGAATGGACTTGGAATTGAGGACATAGGGAGGGGGAAGGGTAAGCTGGGATGAAATGAGAGAGTGGCATGGACATATATACACGACCAAATGTAAAACGATAGCTAGTGGGAAGCAGTCACATAGCACAGGGAGATCAGCTTGGTGCTTTGTGACCACCTAGAGGGATAGGATAGGGAGGGTGGGAGGGAGACGCAAGAGGGAGGAGATATGGGGATATATGTATACGTATGGCTGATTCACTTTGTTATAAAGCAGAAACTAACACACCATTGTAGAGCAATTATACTCCAATAAAGATGTTAAAAAAATACATACTATATTTCACTGTCATCATGTAAAATAATATTTTTTGAGATAGTTACTTCTTAGGGAGCATTCATAATACAAATGTATATGATAGCAACATCTTAAAATAACTTAGACAACTGCTTAAATAATTAGATAACTTAAGAATCACAGGTGTTTAAAAAGGAGTGAATGGGAGTGAGGGGATAATTGTGATTTCTCTTATGTGCTATAATATGTAAATATATACCTTATTTCATAGAAACAGAATTTCATAAAAGACTAGTATAACTTCTATCTCTACAAATCATATTTTAAATGAACTAGTACTTGATAAATAAAGCAATTCTGTGTCAGATTTTAATAGGTCAAGATTATCATATGATTTACTTTTTAAGAAAGTAAGATTGTCACATTTAGAACTTGTTCAGAGTGTGTCATGGTACAAATTTCCTTAATATGACCAATCTAATTCAAAACAGTGTCACGAGAATTACTGCTATCTTTTATGAGTTACTCCGGGGGTCAGCAAAATATGGCTTGTAGGTGAAATCTTGCCTACTGCCTGTTTTTGTAATTAAAGTTTTACTGGAACACAGCCAGACACGCTCATTTACATATTGTCTGTGGCTGCTTTCACCCTACAACAGCAGCACTGAGGAGTTGTAAAAGACACTGTAAGAGCAGCAAAGCCTAAAATATTTACTATCTGGCCTTCACAGAAAGTTTGCCAATCCCTGAGCTATTCTGAGGGTCTTAACAGAAAGAAACTTAGAGAAATAAAGTCACTATTACTGATAAAACAAATACAGTGCTTTTCAAAATGGAAATTAAACAAATTGATAAAAGGCTATATTAAAATGCTTCAGGTATATAAACCCACTAAAAATTTAATACCAAATCAAATATTTTCCCAAGTAATCTTATTTATTATAAAAATTTCTTCATAATACATCACAGGATGTTAGAATATAATAATGAAATTTATTTTAAAATGTCACTTGCAAAGTTACTTGACTAATAATCAGATGTTTAACATTACTCATTACACTTTCAGAAAAATGAAACTATTATTGATAGATCATATTTGATCAGAGCAGTCAAGAAGAACTTATTTAGCATGTCAAAAACTCGGACATAAAACTACTACACATTTATCAGTGAATGAAATTTCCTGTCAAATACAGTGAAGCAAATTCTTAAACAGAGTGGTTTTATTTCCCAACTAAATCTGCTTTTCTCCAAACTGTGTAACTTTGTAATTACTTTGTGTTTGTCCCTACAGCCTCTGCAAAAACAAATTCTGATTACTTTTCTTTTTTACCTTGAGATCACGGTACACAATCTTTCCGGAATGTAGATAGTCCAAGGCAGAGACAATTTCTGCACCATAGAAACGTGTGCGGTCCTCAGAGAACACCCTCTCTCTCGACAAATGGAAAAACAGCTGCAGGGTAAACAGCAGGGACAGGATTGTAATAATTACTGATTTAGTGGGGGAAATTAACACAAACATAAAACACCTCTCATCACCATATTGTGATGATAGATAGTGTACTCTCAGCGGACACTGAGCAGTCTTAGACAGCAGCTGGCTTATCTTTTCCAGGTTTCCAAGGGGAGACTGCGAGCTGTTAAATCAGCACTTTAATCAATATACCAATCTTGTTTAAGGCATTCTGCTTGCTACCCATTTAACCTTCAGTTACCAGAGGAAAAAGTATGCATCATCAGATTACATCTCCCCCTCAGTATACTGTTGCTTCACTCTTTCAAGGATTAGGTATTGAGACTTTATTAAAATAAATGCACATAAGCATAGATGGAATATTTCGACTTAATTATCTCAGTTACACTTGATTTCAAAGAAAGGACTGCTGATTTGTGGAACCTTATTTATGTGAACTTGTTAAATTCTACAACTCTTGATTCTTCATGATACCTCTAGAAATGCTTTCAATGTTTAAATCCATGTTTTCTGCAATGAGAAACTGTGAGGCTTTACATTTTCAATTTATGTTAATAATGCCCAAAATGGACTGAGAAGCTCCCATTATTCCCCTAATAGTTCTCAATGCATACTCTTCCTATTTCAATAATAATTAACTATGACACCAATCTTTTCTCATGTAATCACTTAAAACTATAAGCCCATCCATTTCCTGTTAACAACAGTCAACAAATATTTATTGGGTTCTCACTGTGGTCAAGCATCCAGCTCTCCATTTAGACAGCCTCTTTATTTAAGAAACTGCCCGTCTCAGCTCTCAGTTCAATAATGTATATGAGGAAGGAGCCGGTTTCAGGCATTATGAATTGACTACTGACCTTTTTGTGTACTGTTTCACTGTATTAAGAAATCCACCAAGAACAACAAAAGATGGTTCGCAGTGCTGAGTACACTGCCGAGTATCACAGTAGGTACTCAATACATGTCTTTGATTAAAGAAATGAACCAATCAGTCAATGTATTCTTGACTGCAAGATCAGAAATTAACTATATTTTCACATAGATTACTTCTACAAACTGCTTCTACAAATTTATAAGAATTATGGTTAACTGAGATTTGTTTCTCACACACCAAATCATAATTTAGGTAACATAAAAGAGGTTCTCTATAGATTCCATCTTCCCTTTTCCCACCTCCAACTCCACTTAAGAGTTTATCATTATTTTAAGATAAAATTTATGCCTAACCCATTGTCACAGTAAAGAGAGAAGAGGTAATATCATGTAACTATTGCCAAAAAAGACTGGTTCAACATTACTTATAGTAAAACTAAAATGTTTGGCAGATAGTCTCTAAACTTTAATGCTCTCTACTATATTGTCATATTTTATCAAATCTAAGATGCTGTTGATTGCAACTCCACCAACTTTCTATGTTAATACCAAGAAAAATAATGAGGTCAATTAAAACTATGACACACCATCAAATATAAAAGGCACTCTGACTGAAGAAATGTTCAATGTGTCTTATAAATGACCAAATATACTATACCAAAAATCAAACCAATGTATAAAATTACTCAGGGATATGCTTCAAAATTCATTCATTTTATACAGGCACATACATGTTATTAATGCTCTACCATTCAAACAAAGACAGGAAGTAGAAAGAAGGATGGATCATCAGTAAAACCATTCTGAAATATTTCTAGGTCAAAGTAATTTCTGTCATCCTTTAATACAAAATATAACTAATTTTGACAAAGGAACCCCTGTGACCCAGATTTATGGTAGTCTTCTAACGAGATGAAAGTAGTAGTTAGATTTCTAAATTTTCTTCAAATGTCAAGCCTAGTACCCACTCATCTACAATACAAAAGATATAGATCTTCCCTAAATCAACATAATACATGCAGGCTTCTAGATCTTTATTTAGACCATAAATCTTCAATTTGTCTTCCAGCCAATTTCTGTAAAAATATCAGCTAAAAAAAAAAAAAGCTACTTAAGGAGAAGAACTCTATTTATTTCTCAATCTGCTCTCCTCTGATGTCTACCCTTGCTACTTTATGGAACTTATTCCTGTTAACATAATCAAGAACCTCTCGTTCTGGAGCTTAGAACATCACTTATTACCCTCTCCTTCTTATAAACATTCCTTGGCTTTGGTACTACAACTCTCCTGATTTTCTCTGAATATTCCTTCTAAGTTTCTACCTTGGCTTTGAACCAACTTTCCATTTAGTGAGCATCAATTATGTTAAAGTCACTGTTATTGGACACTGGGAAGAGAAAAAGAGGGCATATAATGGTGATTAAGACATAATCCCTGACCTTAAGAAATTCAACACGATGAAGGAGATATATGCACAGATAAAAAACAAGAGAGCTATGAGAAATTCTGTAACAAAGCAATATTAAAAATGCTTTGGAGGCAAAGGATGATTAATCTTTATTGGAATGATCTGAGGAGACTTCACAGATAAGGTAGCATCTCACGTTTTGAAGGATGGATTTTTCACAAATGGAGAATATACGGGAAGCATACAAAACAGTGCAAGTTTTATCCATCTTAATATTTTGACCACAGCCTAGTAATAGTACATCAACATAGTAGGTAATTAATAAATGTATGTGGAACAAATTAATCCCTCTTAATATCCACCTTAATATTTTGACCACAAGTTCTATCCTTCTTAATATTTTGACCACAGCCTAGTATAGTCCATCAACATAGGAGGTAATTAATAGATGTATGTAGAAGAAATTAATTCTAAAGAAAAAAAATAGTAATGGCAAGGAAACAACACATAGGGAGGGCATGTAGCTGAAGAACAATAATACACATTCATGATAATGACAGAACTTAAGCAAAAAAAAAGAAAAAAACCAAAAAAACCCCACAAAGATGAGGCCAGATTGTTTAGGACCTTGACTGCCATGATATGGTTCAGAGATTAATTTTGTAGATAAGTAGTGTCAAAGACATTTGGGTTAAAAATTTTAGCATAATTTTATTTATTTATTCTTGGCTGTGTTGGGTCTTTGTTGCTGCGCATTGACTTTCTCTAGTTGTGGCGAGTGGGGGATACTCTTTGTTGTGGTGTGCAGGCTTCTCTTGTTGCGGAGCATGGGCTCTAGGAGCACAGGCTTCAGTAGTTGTGGCACGTGGGCTCAGTAGTTGTGGCTCGCAGGCTCTAGAGTGCAGGCTTAGTAATTGTTGCACATGGGCTTAGCTGCTCCGCAGCATGTGGGATCTTCCTGGACCAGGGCTTAAACACATGTCCCCTGCATTGGCAGGAGGATTCTTAACCACTGTGTCACCAGGAAAGTCCGAAAAAAATTAGCATAATTTTAAGTACACAACTCTGGCAGCAACTAGAGAATCAATTAAAAAAATCTGAGACTACAGTAGTCAGATAAACAATTCATAAAGTGCAACAAAACTTACTGAACACCAATTCAGTACAACCACTGTGAAAAAGCTGCAGACACAATGAGAGGAAATGGTACCAATCTGAAAGAATATCACTATTTGGTTAGAACAACCAGATATATAAATAATTCCACTAAAATATGTAGTTATAAAATAGAAAGCACACTTAAAGAAGTGAATAAGTATGTTTGGTAATATAAGAAGTAACCTTCGAGCTGGATAAGAGCTTCTGAGGAACATTAGTGCTAGTAACAGACCTTTCAAGAGTCAATATTCCAGAGGGAACTAGCTTTCACCATTTGGGCAAAGGCAGAGAGCAACAGTGTTGAAGTTTCCCTAAGGATGGCTGAGTAGGTGTTGCTGCCAGCAGTGTAAAGGAAAAGAATGGGGATGGAGACAGACGAGCAATGGATTTTATTTTGACCTGTTGACATTTAAATAAGAACTTGATAGCACAGCTTCAGAACTATGGGACCAAAGGGTATAAAAGTAAATGTGTGAGTCATTTATATAAAGGATACTGTTGACACCAAGGAAACAAGGTATAGCCCAGAAATTTAGTAGAAACTGCAAACAGAGTTAAGGTCAGAATTTTAGGGTATGACTGCACAAAAGGACAGGAAAAAGAAGCAGAACAGGATATTAAGATAGAGTCCTAAAAGAAATACAAACAGAATGAATACCTGAAGAATAAAGGAAAAGAAAGTTTCAGGAAGGAAATTAACATTTACCAGGCATAGGAATTAGGTCATAAGTTACCTTTCAGGGAAGAGATGTCATACTTAGGTGGGCTAAGAAGAGAATATAAAGGTAGAAATGGTATGTGACTCTTTTAGAAAAAATGAATGAAATGAGCCAAGATATTATTGAAATAGAAGATTTTTGCTCAATATATTAATGCTCTCAAAAAAACTTCTGTCTGAAGAAATTGAGAGATAGTATAAAGCTACAATTCATATGGAATAGGCATACAAATTAAAAGAAATATCAATGAAATCAGGTGGCCAGAAACAGGTTACTTTATAAAAATTTAGAATATGGTAAAGTTGATGATTACACATAAGGATATGAAGTATATGGGGAAAAAATGACCATTTAATAAATGGTGCCACAATATTTGCTTAACTTTGGAGAAAAGTCAGAAGAGTGTCATTATTGAACATGCAGGCATTCAGTAGATATTTCAAAGAAGTCGGAGTAAAAGCTAAACCATACATTAACAAAGCTAACAAACAAGAGTGTAAAATATCATATTTGCAAATAACTGCTCTCCAGAACAAGATGTAACACTCTTTGAAGGAAGATAACAAAATCTAAACACTCAAGTAAAATCAAAGTATCTAGTATACAATCAACAATTACTAGACATGAGAAGATGCAGGAAAATATGACCCATCACCAACAAAAAAGTCAGTCATTAGACACAGACCTCAAAAATAACAGAGATGATGGTATTAATAGACAGTAACTTTAAAGCAGTACAGGAACATAAAGAAGAGATAATGGGAAATAGAAATAAATAGGATGTTTAAAGATGAAACATATAATATCTGAATAAAAA